GGAGAAGTTAAGTTGGGCACCTACACAGAATCCTTACCCCTATGTGCTAAAATCTCTGGTATGAGAGGGTACTCTTCACGCTATCAAAATAGAAACATAAACACCAACAAAGCCACAATGGTGTCATGTCCACAAGATATGATAGTGCAGTGAAGGCTCAAAGCTTGCGGGTTTAAACAGCCAATATCGGATTTGACTTAAGGTCCACTCTACAAGATAGACCCCATACCTGACACTTCCTGTGGGACGAAGAACCTAAGACTAGTATTATCCCAGTGATCTAAGATAAAACCAAATACAATTGTTCTAAAAGGAAAAAATAGCAATAAAATAGCTACTAATAACATTCTGTTACACCCATAACACTAAGACATCATGAGAGGCTTCTCTCTGCAGCAGATGAGAACAAACACAGTGGCTCACAGACATAATAAAACACTCAGCCCACAACAGGATGTCTCAATCAAATCTCTCCCCTCAGAGCTCAGGAAATCCTGAAGAAGAGGTGGTAGTTGAAAAAAATATGAAAGGCAGAGGGAATGGAGGACACCAAGGAAACAAGGCCTTCTAAGTCAACAGGATCCAAGAAAATATGTATTGACAGAGACTGAGGCAGCATACATAGGACCTGCACAGGTCTGAACCAGAGGGAGTTCTAGAGCTTGAGGGAGGAGACACGTGCCCCTTTGCTTAACTTGGAAACTATCTCCAATTGATAACCACTTGCAAATGGATATTTAATTTTCTCCTAGTGAGTCCCACTGGGGAAAAAACTATTCTAAAGGGTAGACTTCTTGCCCAGTAGTGGACCACCAACAAAAAACAAACCCAATAGTTCTTTTGGCGGTCCCTTGTCTCATAACGTCATGTCAGGACTTTCAGAAAATTGTATCTTTTTATTTTTTATTTTTATTTTAGTACATATATGTACCAAATTATCACATTGTTCCTCATAGTTGTTAATAAATGAGCATAATTTAAATTGACAATCACCTCCAAAATCACAGAGAAAATTATGTAATTGGACATCTATGCTTCACTGCTCTGACAATAGGTACACAATAATTCTGCATGACATGTGATAATTTATTCAACACATATTTCTTGGTGTGAACAAGAATTAAAACATAAAATGTGAATACTCTTTTGCAATGTATAATATCTGGGGATTTCATCTAAGGCACTAAAAGAATGCCTAAGACATATTAAGGGCATAAAAACACCCCAGTAGTAAACTAAAAGTAGTAAACTTAGCAAGTTTTCTGAGCACACTATCAATATTATGACATCATTTAAAAAAGTAAAACAAGAGAAAAATAATTGATGACTGGAGGGAGGGCAATGGTGTGAGAGCAAAAATACAGAATCTTACTTTGGGGTGAATATGATTATCATTATTATATACATGTGTGAAAATATCATGATGAACTCCATTGGCTTGCATAAGTAATAAAGTTATGTTAATAAAAGTGAAGAATTAAAGATACATTTTAGAAGCCTCAAAGTGCATATTATAAACCACTTTTATTCAAGAGAACAAATAATACAGTAACAAGAGAAAGTTATAAACAGATTAATATCATAAGCATCTGATATTACAAAGTATTCTCAAAATGTGTAGCAACAGGAAACTCTTTTACATTAATGGAGTGTAAATTATACTATAGCATACACCACATTGCAAAGTTAAAGGGGTGCATGTCCAGAACTCAAGATTCAATTCCTCACTATATATCCTAGAGATGGTGTCCTATATGTAAACCGGATGTAGAGAACTTTTACTGATGAAAATTACAAGATAATTGGAAAGATCACAAGTAGTCCTTGATGGGAAAAGCTGAAAGCCTAGAAGTGTGGCTGGAAGGTGAACTACAACATACAGAAAAATATAATACCTTATAAATGATTCCCTAAAAGGAAAACAAATGTGCATCAGGGTTCATCAAGGGTACAATATTTAAGTTAACTATAGCACATATTTTTAAATACCTACCATGTAAAAGAAATGTAAAGAAATTATATCATAATGAGTTGAAGGAGATGGACATTAAATGTATGAAATTCTTTCTGTTGTATTTGGTTAATGAGCAAAATATTACTCATGTAAAAATATACATTTAAAGTATAAATGTCCCATGCAAATTAAACTATTTTAGTGTAATCTAAAAATTTCAAACCAAGGTATTCTAATTTAAAACATTGATTTTAATGAGCTATCTTTAAATAATTTAATTTAAAAGTCTGATTTAAACATTTTCAGTGAGGGTTATGTTTGCATATCTAATATATACTATGTATGAAATGCCTGAAATGGTACTCATTGAAAACCATTGAGAAAATTCAAGATGTTTTCTATCTGTTCACTGATAAATTTCTCTTGTTAAAACTCCTGTCATATACTTAGTATTTATTTACTGATTACTTTAAAGTGGGTATTCTTCTATTTTTGCTTTGTTCTTATGATTGAGAGTTATTGGAAATTTTATCTGGATAAAAATTGGTTGATCAGAATTTTCATAAATATTTGTTCTATTTCTTTTGTGCAGTGAACATAGTTTTCCAGCCTAAGTCATGCTTTTTGATTACTTTAAAACTTCATTCTTTACTAGAAACTATTTTTAGGTGTTTTTTACCTTTAAACTTACTCTTTTGATTTAGCTCTTTGTGTCTTTATTTGGATCTTTTCTGGCACCCCCTGAAGGTTGGTGAGGAGAAAGTGTCCCCAGAATATATTGTATGAGTTTTTAAAATTTTATTTATTAAGCAACTCTACTCCCACACAATGCCCCATCTAACATATTTGATATTATGTCACATAATGAGTCTTTTTCTGTGTAATATCTTTACTCACTTTGCCTCTGTTAATGTATATTTCAGGAATAAGATCTAAGTTTTTCACTTGAAGGATTTGTACTTTACTGGATGGGGGGGTCACAAGGACTTTAAAACAACCCTCCTTTTTTTCGCTGGATCTCCAGAAGTAAAATGCTGTCCTTGGGCTTCCAGGATGCAAGGAGTAGGAAAAGAATCTAAAGGACTGATCAATATTCTTAACTGAGCTTCTGAAACTTCCACCCATAGAACATGTGGTTCCTCTGCTACCACAGGGAATGGCCGGCATAGGTCAGCCTTGGCAGATGTCATGACAGCATAGGTAAGTCATGGTAGATGTCATGACAACATAGGTAAGCCATGTTAGATGTCATGACAACATAGGTCAACCATGGCAGATGTCATGACAACATAGGTAATCCTTGGCAGATTTCAGGACAACAGCATAGGTCAGCCATGGTAGATGTCAGGATGACAGCATAGGTAAGCCATGGTAGATGTCACCACAGCATAGGTAAGCCATGGTAGATGTCATGACAACATAGGTAAGCCATGGTAGATGTCATGACAACATAGGTCAACCATGGCAGATGTCAGGATGACAGCATAGGTCAGCCATGGTAGATGTCAGGATGACAGCATAGGTCAGCCATGGCAGATGTCACCACAGCATAGGTAAGCCATGGTAGATGTCAAGGCAACATAGGTCAACCATGGCAGATGTCACCACACCATAGGTCAGCCATGGTAGATGTCACCACAGCATAGGTCAGCCATGCCAATGTCAGGACGACAGCATAGGTCAGCCATGGTAGATGTCAGGATGACAGCATAGTTCAGCCATGGCAGATGTCACCACAGCATAGGTCAGCCATGGCAGATGTCACCACAGCATAGTTCAGCCATGGCAGATGTCACCACAGCATAGGTCAGCCATGGCAGATGTCACCATGGAATAGGTCAGCCATGGCAGATGTCATGACAACTTTAAGCCTCTACAGCTTCTGTTTTTATCTTGAAAAGTAGACTGAACATGATCTTGGCTTCATAGACATGAATGATGTACAATGAGGGGCCTGAGCCTGCTTGTTTGGAACTACTCAGTTAGTGGCAGCCTTTGTAATAATTCACAATCAGAAGACAGAGAACAAGACAAGGAGTAGTCTTCAGGGAATAAGCAGATGAGTGTCCCATCTCATTCCCCTGGACCATTCTCTGGAAACAGTGAACCCCAGGGATCCTCAGTAAACTGAGTCTGAAACAGTGAGGCGTGTTCACAGAAGGTATCAGGAGCTTGTTATATTGTTTGGATAACGTTAGGATCCTGGCCTCCAAAACAGATTGGAATTGGGAATCCCTGTTGAAGAAGGAGGTATTCTCATGAAAGAGTAAGAAAAATAAATCACACCCAGTCGCTATTGCATGTACTGGGTCCACGATCTGTCTGAGAGCCAAAAGGGAAAGAGGTGTTTACAAGGACCCCATACTAAAGGAGTCCTGGACCATTAAGAATCTGCCAGTTCCCACAAAAGTGTCACATGCCTTGGGGACTGGAAAAGAACAGCAAAGAGGTAAATTTTCACCTCCGTGGTATTATATGGTTCTTTCTCCTCCATGGAAGAAACATAGGTTTCCCTGACATAGGTTTTTCAAAGTAAGGAGAGAACCCCAGCCCTTGTCATTTGGGCTCACAACATGCTGTTAGTACACTGCTGACCTGGGGATGCAAAACAAGCAAGAGTCTGTTGAGGATCATATGGGAAGGCTTTATTCCTCCGAAACACAGAAAGGAGGTAGCAATATAGGAACTCCACAGTTAGACTTCAGTACTGTAGTGACCTGAATGTGGAGGGCAGGAGGAGAAGGGCAGAACAGCGGGTCAAGTCAGGTCTTCTCAACATGGCTTTCTCCTGCACAGTTCTTCCAGTGTTTTCATGGCCCAGGTCAGCAGCAGTCCCCAGACTGCTGGCTGCTGCCACCGCTGCCTCCACAGCAGCCACTGCCACCACCACTGCTGCCACAGCAGCCACTACCGCCACCGCTGCTGCCACAGCAGCCACTGCTGCCACCACTGCTACAGCATCCAGAGCTGTGACGATGACGACGAAGAGATCTGCGGGGCCTATGGTGGCTCAGGCAGCAGCCACCACCCCCAGAGCTGCAGCAACCTCCAGAGCTGGAGCCACAGCAGCCACCAGAGCTGGAGCCACAGCCACCAGACCCCAGGCTGCAGCAGGAAGACACAGGGGGACACTTAGGGGGGCACTTAGGGGGACACTTAGGGGGGCACTTAGGGGTCTGGCACTTGGGAGGGCACTTGGGGGCGCACTTGGGAGGGGGCTGGCACTGCTGCTGGCTCTGCTGGCAGGACATCTTGGTTGATGAGTGCTCAGGAGCTGTGGGAGAATCACACCCAAGTCAGACCCAAGTTCCAAGACAATCTTATGTACTCTTGTCTTTTCAGCTTCATTTCTAGTTCCCACATGAGTCTTGCGATCAGACACAGGAAGAGCCTATGTGAGATTTTCATCATTTTCATCATTTACTAAGTGCTTTGTTTCAGTACCTCATATCAAACTCCAATTAGAGAGGGTTAAGCAACGCAGCCTTTAAATACCCCAAGAAAGTTCATCATTTAATCTCCTGAGTGTCCAGCCAAAGAACTCACATCACCCAGAATTCTGAAAATATTCAAGACAGTTTAAAGTTGAAAAACTCTTTCCAAAAAGAGCAAAGGCATTCCCTCTGGGGGAATTTCAGAAAAAAAAAAAAAACCATGATTTTGTAGAAATGTAGCAAAATGGGAATGCAAAAGTCCCTGGGGTCAATTTGTAACCAATTTATACATGAAACCAAGGGGAAGTTTATCTGCTGGCCCTGGTCTGTCCCCATACAGCCTCTGGGGTTTCCAGACCTGCTGGCTCCTGCCCAAGGCTCCCCACAGCAGTCTTCCTGCTGGCTAACCAGGAGGTTCTTTTTTCCACTACATCTTTTCCAAAAATGAACATGGCTGACTTTCAAAACGTCAGTCCAGTGCCCCCTGGATAATTTAGTGGCTCACATTCCACAAAACCAAAGAGATTCACCAAACAACAGAAAATAATTTAGTTTCTTTGAAAATGTAGCATACATCTCTAAATCCTCTCAAATTATGCCCCGTTCTTTACTTTGGAATACCACCCCCCAGACACTTCTTTCTTATCACAATTTACTGCTTCTGGAAGCCTGCACAGCCTCCTTCCTGCTCTGACTTGACCATTCTTCTGGAGAAGCACCTTTTTCTGTGCTCTGGACACTTACCAGGGTGACAGGCAGCACAGCCTCTGTAGACACCTTGAGATGTGGATGGATGGATGGATTCTGGCCACCGGCCTTTTTATTCTGCTCTTGAGTTCTTCTCCCTGGACATGAGACAGGGCTTGGGCATGGAAGATTGCCTTCTAATGCTCACATGACTCTGTGACAGGTCATGACTCGATGTTCCTCATCTGCCCCTCTCTAATGGGCTCACACCACCTGCTCCCATCTAGGAATGTGTTTGCTTGATATGAGAGTGCTTGGAGAGAAGCTATGGATGAGCCATCCCAGGAGTAATGTGCTAATACTTAAGGATTCTGGTCCTCCCAATTCCTTCTTCCTGTCCATTCTACATAAAAGTAATTTTTCTGTGTGTGTGTGAAGATACAGCGCTGAAACAGTGGCACTTTTATCTTGTGGGTAACTAATAACTGTCTCATTGGAGGTCAGGTACACTCAATAGGAGAGAATTCCTGCTCAGCACCTTAAACCACCTGTGAGTAGAGAAATTGGAGACCCAAGAGGGGAACCTACTACTGCCAAGTTCTTAACTTAATATAATTTTTAATTGTTTTCTAAATACTTCTCATTGTACCCACAGATAAGTGTAGCTCTCATTCCTCATCAGAGAAGCTTCTCTGTACAACAGATGGAAACTACTAAAGATACACAACTGGTAGGAACACAGAAAATTAATAACTATGGGATGTCTATCTCCAACTGATACTTTTGCAACCCAGATGCTAAACCTAAGACTCAGGGAAAATTATGGAAGAAGGGGCTGAGAGATTCTAAGAGTCAGAAGCCCAGTAAGTTCATGAATAGATTGAGTCCCCTAGAAATGACAGGGAAAATGCACTCAGGGAATCTCAATAATATGATTACCTGAATAAGAAGACCACCATGACGACAACACCAGCTGACATGCCAGTGGGGACAAGGGGAATTTTACTTGGCCTCACTCTGAGGTAAAGAGCTTTAGGTGGTCAATGGTTGTTGAACGAAGTTACATCAGTTGCCTTCAGAGATGACCTCCCTCATAGGTCTAATCCCAAGTGGTCAGTCCTAGACACATGAACATATAAAGAAAGCAAAATGGATTCAGTAGCATGTGCATGCTTGAGTAAGTGTGTGTGTGTGTGTGTGTGCATATGTGTGTATACATATAATAATGATAACTTTAAAAAAAAGAGATCACAAATTTGTGGAAGGAAGGAAGAGTTGGAATGGAGATGAAAGGACAGGAGTGATATACATGTGGTGCTCATAAAAACTGTTTATATAAAACAATTCAGTTGAATCTACTACTGTCAGTCAGTTAGGCCAGCAAAATTCCTTAACTGAATCGTAAATCTTATCCTCACACCCACAGATTATTGTAGTAATCACCCCTCATCAAAGCGGCTTCTTTCTTTAGCAAATGGAGACTGTGTCTAATTGCTGAAAACCACAATTAGACACAATGCAAAGATCAATGGAGTGCTGGAATCGCAGCCCCAGTATATATCTGTAATAGAGCTGCTGCATGTATGTCTTAATGGACATTGTGGCAGTAGGGTAGAAAGGTTGTTAAGAGCCAGAATATCAGGAAATTTGCTGTGTGACTGTCTCTTTTAAAAATGGCTACATAAACAAGACCTGGACAATATCAATATTAATAAGTTTGCTAACACAGAAGGAGGAAAATCTCAAGGATTCCCTCACCCAAACTAAGAGCTACAGGCAGCTAATAACTACTGAGAAAAGGAGAATTAGCTTTTCCAGGGGTGAGGTACCTGATTGGTAGGCTTTGAGCCATATGCAAACAAACACCAAAATGGAAGAAAATAACTGGATTGTTTTATAGTATGTGGCTGGTGGGAAGAAAGAAAAGGGAAGAAGTTGTGTAATTATATTTGAATTATGTAAAGACAATTTTAGAGAAAAAAGATTCAAAGCTAGCATCCACATATGAAAATGACATGTGGCATTTGCCTTCCTGGGTCTGGTTTATCTCATTCAGTATAATGTCTTCTAGCTCCATCTATTTATCTGTGAATTTCACTATTTTATTTTTTTCCTAATAGCTGAACCATATTCAATTGTGTAAATTAAATTTATCACATCTTCATTGTCTACCTATCAGCTGACAGTCATCTAGAGCTTTTCCATTTCTTGGAGATTGTGAATAGAGCAGAAATAAACATGGATGAACAATGAACATGGATGAACAAGTTACCTCTTTAGTATGATACACAATTACTGTGGCTGTATGTTCAAGAGTTATAACTGGATCATGTCTTTATTGCTAAATAAGGTTAATGAATGTAGACATACATAATATTCTACTACAAAATAATTTACCATTCTGTGATACACCTGAAGCTTCTTTGTGTTAAAACCAAATGCCTTATACAGATTCGTAAAGCTGGAATTACTTATTATTTAATGTATTGCTGTTTACATTTTAGAGTCATTTTATTTTTAATAGCTGGAGGTTTGGATGGGAAGGAAACAAGGCTAAGAATTGACTCTTTTGCACTGGAAATGTCCTGAGGGAAGGACCTGAGTTTCTTCCATTTAGTGGTGTTCAATGGTGGAAGAGGGGAAACAGATTCTTTAACTTTCCTCTGCCCCCAGAAGATAGTATCTAATAAGTTGGAGACATGTTTGGTCATTATAGTTGTCATCTTTGGGATCAGAGATCCTCTGGAACACTGTGCCATTCACCAGAAATCCAGCCCATAGTAGAATTATCAGAGGGCCCTAAGGGACAGTTCATATTTAGACAATATAGTGCTGATATAGGCATCTGGCATGAGCTATGATGACTGATGTTGGTCTTAGTAAATGGGTATGAGTCAGCACAAAATTATTGGCATTGGATGTCCAGGGAACCCAAGAATAAACAATGATATAGTCTGTTGACAGCTATTCTGTAGTGGCCTTCACACTCAACAGTCTGACTGTGAGCATTTGTCCTTAGTGTTGTGTGCCAGTGGTCCCTATGTATGTCTGTGTTTCCCTATGTGTGGCCTGTGTAGGCTGGCATGTGTTTTTCTAATGGCCTGGGTGCCGGAAAATAAAGTGTGCCATGTTTGCTCATCTGGCAAGCCTTGAAATTTCTTTAGCCTCCCAAGCTCTTGTGACCTCTGCCATTCTTGGAATCGGAGCTTGGACCCTAGGAGCTGACATGAGAAGCTGTGCATTGCTGTGAAAGGAATGATATGATACACACTGGAAGCAGCTCTTCAGTTACTGACAAACAAAGCAAACCTCTCTGAAGGATGTTAGTGAGATCTTACAGGACTGACGATTAACATTGCCCAGCCCTGCCTTTTCCTCCAGGCCATGTAAAGTCAGGATACCTATTTGTGACTAAAGATCCAACTCAGTTGCAAGCCTAAATAGTGTTCCTAATTGACCACAAGACCTCTTCTCTGATATTTGTCTCCTTTGGCTAATCCATAGAATCATTCAAACGGCAAAGTTGCTAAGCAAGATCAGAGTGCAAATGAATGCAGTGTTTGCAGTGGTTCTTTGTGTGTGTGTGTGTGTGTGTGTGTGTGTGTGTGTGTGTGTGTGTTTTCCACTGTCCTTTAACATTATGAGCTCATCAAAGCACATGAACTTTTTGCTTCATGAGTCTTACTGTTTCTAGGCTTGGAGTTTTCCTAAGATGTGTTCCACACCAACTCATCCCTGTTCCTCTCTGGTTCCACATTCTTTCAACCCTTAAATTCTTTGTTGTAGAAGAATCTCTGAATTCCCATATTCACATCTCTCTAGCTCACCCAGCCTCTGCTTGAGACAGGGTTCAGCTTCCCTCTGTGACCAGCCTCCCCTCTCCAACATACATTTCTCCAAGCATTGTTTCTTTCCTTTTCCTCTCCCCATAAAAGTGATATTTCACTGCCAAAAGCAAATATATGTTTAGTGCTTGATAATATATGAAATATTTTAAATTACATTTCACTTAATCTTCACTGTGATCTAGAGCAGAAAGTACAGCTTGTTAGCCACATTTCATAGATTAGGAGATGAATATCAGGAAAATACCTAAGCCAAGATCTCTCTACTTTCTAGTGGTGGCACTGAGTTCAAACCTGTACCTTAGGATACCATTCCCACTGCCTCTGGTTGACAGTTCTGCCTTCCTATGAGCCACTCTGTCCCATACATTTAGTTTAGTCTTTACATTTTTCTTCAACATTTTTTATTATATAATTTATTTTACATATCAATCCCAGTTCCCTCTCCCTCCAATCCTTCCATGCCCCCCCCACTGATCCCCCATTCCATCTCCCATCCACTCCCCAGGGAGAGTGAGGCCTTTCACCAGGAGGAGTCATCAAAGTCTATCAAGTCATTTGGAGCAGGGCTTAGGCCCTCCCCCATGTATCTAGACTGAGTATCGCTCCATGGGGAATGTGCTACTCAAGTTCGTTCCTGCACTAAGGATTCATCCTGGTTCTACTGCCAGAGGCCCGATAGATTGCCCAGTCATCCTAGCTGACACCCACGTTCTGGGGTTCTGGTATGGTCCTGTGTATTCGCCAGCTGGTGTCCATGAGTTCCCACTTGCTCAGATCAACTGTTTCTGTGGGTTTTCTCAGCGTGGTCTTGTTCCTCATTCCTCCCTCTCTACAGTTGGATTCCAGGAGTTCGGCTTAGTGCTTAGCTGTGGATGTCTGCTTCTGCTTCCATCAGCTACAGTTTGAAGGCTTTTGTATCTTGAGTTTTTACTTATCATCCTTGAGGCAACATTGCAATATTACTTTTAGTTCCAAAGCAGCTTGTATATTTAATCTGTTACTTAATTTATCAATGTGTCTATTTATTATGAATTTTTCTGTACTATACGTTCATTTCCTTGATAGTCAGAATCTGTGTTTTGTTTACTGGTCTATCCCAGGCTATTGCTATCTATCTTATTATCAGAATATGAGTGGCACAAAATAAAATTCAGTATTTTTATGCATGGATAAATGACATATTCCATTTCTAAATTGTTCTGTTATCGTCTTGATTTCTAACTAGAATTTTTCCTTTGTTAATTTATTT